GCAAAATTTCATTGAAATTGGTTCAGGGGTTTTGGAGAAGAAGATTTTTGAAATTTTAGTCAATTTGACCCTTTTTGGCCCCGCCCCTCAGGCCCCTGGGGGCTTAGGACTAAACCGGCAACTGTTTTTGTTGACCTTTGTCCATGGAAGGTCCCTGTAAAATTTCATTGAAATTGGTTCAGGGGTTTTGGAGAAGAAGTCGAAAATGTAAATTGTTTACGGACGCACGACGGACGACTGACGACGACGGACAAAAGGCGATCGCAATAGGTCAGTTGAGACTTTGTCTCAGGTGACCTAAAAACTTCCTCTAGCTGTTTCTGACAGTAAAATATATCGCAATAAATAAACATATCAACTTTCAGTGTTTTGTTTATTCAATTTTATTCAAAGTTTCGTTATTTATGTATTTTGAATGCTCCTTCATGGATGGTAATACTTTGAACCTTGCAAATATAATGACCAGAAACTCGTATAAACATGCTTTTTTATCCAATTGGGAAAACAAAGACAGAAATTTGGAAAAAACAGGGTAATTTTTCAATTGGGAATGGGTCCCGTAACCGCAGGCTAAAAACCCTTGGCAAAACCCCTGTGTATACCCTGACCCACACTACTTTGTGTTGGCATCCGAAACAATGATGTACAGTCATATATAATATATCATATAAAAATATGTATACAGGATTTGTTTGTATGAAAAGATAACAAAAATATATAGCTAGACCTGCAATATAAACAAAGTGGAAATGTGAAAATAAAACCAACAAGTATATGCATCCTTAATAAAGTTTATGTTGATCGAAGTCTTTACCTTAGATATGGAGTAGCCGTGGGCATGCATCGTGGCCAAAGCAGCGCAGCAGACCAGAGCACTGGAACTGGACAGTCCCGAACTGGGCGGAATGTTTCCACTGACCATACAAGTCATTCCTCGGAGTGCGTTGGGCTTGGCGTACTCCAGAATTCCCTTTACTCCACACAGAAAGTAATTAAACCACTTTGGGTCAGACTTACTGATAGTTAAGTCTTTTATATTACACTCGAAGTCTCTGAAAACATGGGAACTTAAGACATATACTCAAGACGCTTTGAGATCAATAAAAAAAAAAAATAGAAAAAAATTCCTTTTTTTTAATTTTGAACAGTATTTACATAGTAATATTGTATTTTAACGGCGTTTTGGGATTTTGATCAGAATAATTTGATGATTGTAATGTTTAATGTGTATTACATATGTAATTTAAACAGTGACTTCTAGTCCTAGTCCTTGACTTGTGCTTTTACTTGGGACTCCCTCACATTATAAGAAACCACAATATTGCTTTGTAATTTTTGAAAGTGAACTTCTCGACTTGCCTGAAAAAGTCCTCTGAAAATCACTTCTTTAATAAAAAAAAATATTCTCAAGTGATTTTGACCATTTCTTGGTCTTGCATGTACATATTGTTTACAAATTGTTTTTATATTTAGATAATGAATGATTTGTATTATTATAAGAAACTATAAACTATTGTAGCTTCAATTCTCAGGATCTATCATGTTTAAAATTTGATGAATTCACCATTGCACAAACAAACACAAGAAGCTCAGAACTGTTACTTGATACTCGGTGTAAAGAAGTGAAATATGACTGTACTTAATATTTTACTTACTGATAAGAAGAATTCATGTTCGCGAGAATGACCTTGTCCGAGGTGCTGCTATGTGACACCGCAACAATGATGTCCTGTTCTATCGCCATGGGCAACACGGAATAGCCGCAGTAATCTATATGCTCTCCTGTAGAAACAAAAGTCTGACCATCAAAACACATATGAGAAATATTCAGGAATTCTGACATTGATTTACATGTTAAACTATTGCCTTAAATTGGAATCAGCCAAGACCAATAAGAGTATGAGAATTCCCTAGGACATTCATTGACAGATTCATTCCTCTCTTCAATCACCCAAAACATATGTTGAAGAAAAATTTAAACAAAAAGAGGAATTTTCCATTTCTTGTGTATTCCTATGGACAATTTTCATTACCTTTTGTAATACCCAAATAATTGTCTTGAGTAAACAATGAAAACCCTTACATGTCTTAGTTACAATTAACAGACAGCAATATGAAAATATTGCGATAAACCTTTGATCGTCATGCAATTCAATCAATAAGTGAAATCCTTTGACGGAAACTAACACTTAACAATACGGTTTTATTGGCATTTTTATTTAAATCATAAAAGTGACAACAAAAAGCATTTCAAAAGAGAGACAGAGAGAATTTACTTCATTTTGAAATTATGCAAGGCATTCAGATTTTGTCACATCAGCAGACTTCATCTACCCTTCCATCCTCCACCCCAACCAAATGAATAGGTGATCATAAGCCAATCCAAGATTTAGAAAATAATTACACGTACACTTTACAGTTCTAAGATTACATCAATTACATTTTCATGTACACAAATTTATTTTAAGATAACAGAGACCATTTAGTATGAACATATAATAAGACATACCTATAATATTTACTCTGCCAGAGGCTCTTGCAAAAAATTCTGGGGGACTTCCAAACTTCTTGAGAAATGTATTTTTGATATCATCATATCTGGAAAATAAAAGTGACATTTATTAAAATATCCATATATAACACTTACCTATAACCGTGGGTATACTTAACATTTTTATATTTAGGTATAACTGATCGTGATGTTAAGTGCCTCTGCTAGGAGTCAACCCTGGGACCACATATCTGTGAGATCATTTTAGTCCAGTGCTCTGTCAATTAAGCTAAATAGAAATTCCCTGTATCAATTATATCTAGGTGCATCAGTAAAAGGCAGTGGTGGATCCAGAGACCTATCTGAATGGGTTTCCAAATTTCCAGGGGTGTTTCCATGTGGGGAAACATTGTGGAAAATGGTGAAAATA